TCCAGCTCCAGCTCCAGCTCCAGCCCCAGCCCCAGCCCCAGCTCCAGCCCCAGCTCCAGCTCCAGCTCCAGCTCCAGCTCCAATTCCAGCTCCTGCTCCAGCTCCTTCTGCCACCCCTTCTGCCACCCTTTTCCCCCCTACCAAACTAGTAATAAAGCAGGGTGGAGGCGGAGCTTCTGTGTCCTGGTCCAGCAGCTGTGCCCCACCTCCAGCTGCAGCAGGCAGGCTAGTGGCCAAACCCACCAGCCAGAGTGCCTCGTTCAGTCGTGCTCCAGCAGGATCATCCTCTTTCTCCTCTTCCTCCTTCAACTCCCAAGCGACTGATGATGACGATGCTCTCCCGCAGAGAACCAGCAAACCGCCTATGAAGACCTACGAGGCTCGCAGTAGAATTGGCTTGAAGCTTAAGATCAAGCAGGATCAGACGGGGTTCAGTAAGGTGGTCCACAACACTGCCTTAGACCCAGTGCACACACCTCAACCTCAGCAGAGCAGCCAGTCCATATCCCAGCCTCAGACTCAGCCTCAGTTCGAAGCTGCTGTACCGCACCCAAAGTCCCACCCTTTATCAACTCCTCCTCCTACAGTCATCAGAACTCAGTCTCCCGTATGTACTGCTTCTTCTGCCTCATCAGTCACCATAGCAACCACTCAGTGCAACCCGCCACTGAGAGGTAATGTTCCCCCCAATGCAGCTCCATCTTCCTCTACCTCCTCTCATTGTTGGTCGTCCACCACCTCCTCCTCCTCCTCCTCCTCCTCCTCCTCCACTCAAATGAATGGGACATTGGATCACCACGATGTCGGTGGGGTCAAACACAATTCTGCCTCCACTGCCACTCCCTCACAGACAACCTGCCGTCTCCCCCTTCGGAAAACCTACCGGGAAAACATTAGTCCCCGGGTCAGACCTGGTGTCCCAGGGGGAGGAGATGAGAGTTTATCGTACCCCAGACCCACACCATCACCCCCCAGGCACGAGGCCTCATCTCCTCCCTCAGAGCGGACAGTGATAGCCAGTGTGAAGGTGGAGAAAAGAGGCAGGGAGGCCTCACACACTCACACAGAGTCAAGCCACGAAACGGGCTGTTTAGACAGTGCAATGCAGGGGCTGGACGAAATGGATGAGGTGTTTAACCGTGGCATCAAAACCACACAACACCATCATCTCCCACAGCTCCTCGACAGGGAAGGGGCAAAGGAGAGAGGGGAGGAGCATACAGACCAAGAGACAGATGTAAGTAAATACAAGAGGGCGAGTGGAAAAAATAGACATAGGGCAGGTGGGACATTCAGAATGGACCAGCATGCCCCTGGGCCACCCTCTCCGGAGTCCTCCTTCACACGAGACTCTTTGCTTCCTGCCAAACGCTGCAAGTCAGACTCCCCTGACATGGATAACGCCAGCTTCTCCAGCGGCAGCCCCCCGGACGACTCTCTGAACGAGCACCTGCAGTGCGCCATCGACAGCATCCTGAACCTGCAACAGGAACCCTCTGCCCGCGGGCACCACATTAAAGGGGGCAACAGCAGGTCCCACCAACACCAAAGCCAGCGCCCAGGGGGCTCGGCAGCCTCATCCCACAGACCCTCAGTCCCACCCTCCTCCTCTGCTTCCTCATCCTCCTCCTTGGCCCAGCACCCTCAGGTCGGTGGCCGTGGCCACAATGGCAGCCTGGTGCCCCAGACTCAAAGCAGATAACAGCCCCTCAGCCCCAGGCTGGACTGACAAGGGGGAGCTAAGAGACAGGTTTGGAAGCAGGAGAAGGGGGGGGGGCACTGTGAAAACAGTATCACTGTACTACTCTGCCTAGCTGTGTTGGCTTTGTTTGTCCATTTGAATTGTCCAGACATTTCTTTGTCATTTACAGCCTGAGGTAGACCTGTTGTTGAATATGGGAGTGTGGTCAAAGGTAAAACGTGTCTTTGAGAATTGCAGACTTGAAGATGCCTGGCGTTTTGTATGTGTTCTCTCAGCCCAGCTCGAGTAACAAGATGAAATTGTCAGAGGCTGTTGTTCTCTATTTCTTTCTTCTTTTTTCAATTGTGATCTTTTTTTTTTTTCTCATTCAGTATTCATACATTCCTTTCATGTGGCCTGAGCACCAGTCTCTATCCACAACGGTTCATCTCCTGGATTACACAGTGTCCCAGTGAGCATCGGGCAGCTGTATTAAACAGTTCAGAAGTCAAAAAACTTTCTTTAACTTGGCTACCTGCAGCTAAGAGGAAGAAGTGAATACAACCAGGTTCATACTGTAAAACATCACAATACATACAGTGTCTTCCTTTACCAACCGAGTTTGATTCTCTCTTCATAAACATAATGCTGCCCAACAGACAAACAGCACATGCTAAAACAATGCAGTCCACCTCTATCAGAAATACGTTTGTCCAGACATTACATAAACCTGAAGGCTCAGTTACACTGCTCACAAGACAACTGCTCTTTGGTCTGTGATTGTCAAAATCATTTAGCCTCAGCCTCCATTATGCCTGCATTTTGAGAAAATCCTTTACTCAAATGATGAAGTTGTTTTCCTTTTGACTGCTCTTGGACTCTTGTCAAGACGTAGATGAAGTGTTGTAAAGAAATTTAATCCTTTTCTGCTTATAACGATTTCCAGGTTCTTCTTTTTCAACCACACCTCCACACACACCTGCTCCCTGGTTGCTTATAATGCCAGGTTAGGACTTTATGCATTTCAGTCAGCAGAGGGCAGGCCAGTTTTAACTGTTGATTTTCTGTGTTCTCAGTCTGTCTGTTTATCTTTCTACCACTGTATCCCTGCCTCCTCCCCGTGTGTGTGTTTTTTTGTGTCTTTTTAAAGCCTGATGGACAATTCAAACACAAACGCAGCACAAGCATTGAAATGGAAAAAAAGGAACAATAATAATGTACAAAAAGACCGTAAGAGAATTTGAAGTATAGTATTACAGATTAATTTTGTATTGTATTTATTGTGTATAATGACACTTTTTAAAAAGAAATGTACATTTAGTAAAACTGTAAATTAAACCTTGCTTCTTTTATGAAACATTGCAGGTCCTCTAGTCATTTGTCCATTCTTGGTCTCCAGGGTACATTCGATGACTAATGATAACCGATGAGTACTGTATGATAGAGGAGGCTGTGGTAATGGTGACGGCGGTGGGGTGTGTTCCCTATCAGACAGCCAGCAGGTGGTGCATGGAAGTGGAAAAGTAAAGCGGGTTTGTGTGCTTCATGGCCTGAAGAGTTCAGAGTTTGGGAGGAGCAAGAGAGTTTACACTGATGAGGGAAAAAACTCACATCTGTAAACGTATGACATGTTACAGTAAGTTTAGTAGAAAGGAAAAAAAAATTTTAAAACATGGAGGTGTTGGAGGTTGCAGCTGGGAGGGTGCAGCATGAGGTTGTGTTTATCATTCAAAATATGTATAAAAAAAGTCAAGTTATGTCATGTTAAAAAAAAAAATGACTCCACCCAAATTATTTATTCCCAACCCCCCCTCCTCCTCCAGGTCCACGCCCTCTGACCACAGCGCTGCTCATCCCTGCCCTGAGCAGCAGTGTTAGTGCTGCCCACATTGTTGCCAGGCATCCCTGGAAGAGGAGGTGCATTAAACTGGGAGAAGCAAGCAACGGGAGAAAAAAAGTTAGGCTTAGTGTGTCTTAGTGTTTGCCTTGTGCTCTTTCAGCAAGCAGAGTAAGGAGCCTCGCCAGATCTGGAGCTCATCTGAAATGAATTAAACCCTGAAGAAGAACGAACCTCTGTAATCTAGCTGCGTTGGCGCTCCACTGAGGGTTCCTATTTGCTGTCAGAGGTACACCCATGCATGTAGCAGCAGCTCCTCCAAGAGACTGACTGTTTTTGTCTCCTCAAGTCAAAATATTTTCCAAACTCCAGAGGGCAAGTCTGGAGAGAGGGAGAGACCAAGGTACTTGAAGAAGTCTGCTTTCTCCATAATAACTTGGTAAATACTCATTTTTTTAAACTTTAAATGTGACTATAATTATCAGCTTGTATTTTAACCTTTACTCAAAAATTGTCAGGTTGTGATACAGTACAGAAAACTGAGCCTTGGTGGTATTTCATGAGTGCAAAGATCACAGCTTAGCTTCAGAATGAGTTAAATGGAAAACTTTCTGACTCTCAAAAGTGTTTCTAAACAGTTTTTTTCCATTTCTTCATTTGGATATTAAAGTATGACTCCCCTGATACTTGTTGCTCCTGCATGTTACATTTCTTGTTCTAAGTCCAAAACTGTGTTGCAATTGTGGCGCACAAACCCACAAGGCATTTTCCACCATCCTTAAAGATAGAAAATGATCCCAGAGACATAACCAAACCTTTGATTCTCATGTGAAGCCTGTAAAGCAACTTTTACTGGCACAGTACTTCTGTATGTAATGGCGGTCAAATCAGATTTAATGTCTCTCCTGTAAATCTCCAGGGTTCGCCATTTTGCCAAGGACTCTTTCCACACTGGTCTTGTGACATGTCAGAACTGTGTTGCCTATTCTCCCTAGGGCAGATATTTTTGTCATCCTTGTTTAAATGGGATTTCGAAGAGAGAAGCTCTCCACAGATGAGTTCATGTCTGCTGATGCGTGTCTCACTTTTGTGCCTTGGTGTCAGCCTGCTTCTAATAATGAGTTGTGCCCTCAATTCCTAATCCAGTGTTTCTGTTTATATAGGGGAAAAAAGGATTTTTACTCAAGGGTTAAATTTGTTTTTCCATCTATAGACTACCCTGTACAAGGTCTTTTCCTTACATGAACAATTGAACCATGCACGTATTTCATGTTCCACTGAGAGGAACTGCAGGGGATAAAAGGAATGTCTTACTCATTTCACTGTAAAGAAATGAGCTGTGCCTGTGCAAATCCTGACGCAGGGTTGGGTTTGCAAGTTTTCCAGTGCGAACACCAACTTTTTCCAGGCATGCACCGACAATGCTTGGCAGACTCCTGGTGGGCTGAAGCTTACTCCAGATTCCACATCCTTACTCTAAATTGCGACTTTGATTTCCAGATTCAAGGACACTAAAAGTTTTTTTCTACCTGGATTAATCTCTTTTCTTCTGTTTGGATTAATCTCTTTTCTTCTGTTTGGATTAACCTCTCATTTTCTGTGCACATTTCAGGGGCTAAAAGTCATCACTGTTTTCAAAGGGAAAAAAAACGGTCTTCAAACAAAAAATCAGCCCTATCGTTCCTCTGTGTGTTTGCTGAGGAGGTTTCGAGGACAAGTGAGCAGCGTTCACATAAATACAGGAAACACCTGAAGTTCAGCCAAAGGAAATCATCTCCAAACAACTGACACACTCTGACACTGATTTTTGTAAGAAGCTTCATCATCTTGTTAGTCAATCAATATGTCTCGCTGGGGGCGAAAAAATGTGAAGAAGGCGCCTGAAGTGATCCGCACTGTGACAGAAGGGCTCAAGTCCTTGTATCGTAAGAAGCTGCTGCCTCTGGAGCAGTACTATGGTTTCCATGACTTCCACTCTCCCAGTCTGGAGGATGCAGACTTTGAAAACAAGCCGATGGTGCTGGTGGTGGGACAGTACTCCACTGGAAAGACAACATTCATCAAGTAAGACATTACAGCTCTGCATCAAACATTTGTTCACTGTTACATTATGTGTGAGTTTATTTAAGTAAATGACACTATGTGTGACTGACAGGTATCTACTGGAGCAGGATATTCCTGGAAGCAGGGTAGGACCTGAACCTACCACTGACTGCTTCACTGCCATCATGCATGGGGAGGTAGAAGGAGTCATCCCCGGGAACGCCCTTATTGTAGACCCCAACAAGCCATTCCGCAAACTCAACCCTTTTGGAAACACCTTTCTCAACAGGTGAGAACAGGGTTTTTATTCACAGTGTATTATTTAATGATTCCACTGAGAGAGCCAGATAGATATCAGTATGAAATGAGCAGACCAAGTGAGAGAAACCACAGAGGGAAAACAGGGAAAGAGAGATAACAGAACGTTTTTTAGCTCTTTGGAATTTCAAGTCCTTGTGCCAAATTTCAGAGCAGGGAGGCACTTGCCTTATTTGTGGAAAAACTGAGAAAGGAGGCGATATCACCCGAGGGGGTGATGAAAGCTAATGTACTCAGACAGGAACTGCAATGTACGCAAGTTCAAAGACGAGGTCAGAGGGCTCCACAATGCCTCCGGGGGCAGACACAAACAAATGAAGTCACAGACTGTGCGAGGTTTAGGAAACCTGTAAGAGAAACCTTAACATTGAAATTCTTTCTTCTACTCTGTTTACTGTCTGGGCCGCCAGATTTCTGTGTATGTTTTTCCACTGAAAGAAGTCACATGTTTCACAATAAAGTGCTGTTAGCTCCTAGAAACAAGAACATGCATGCCAGTAGTGATAAAACACAGTGCTACAGTTAACTGGGCTCTGTAACATGACATTTCTGGTGCCAGTTTCCCAGAAGAGTCCCTCTCTCCTTCTGCAGGGTGTGTTTGTGACCGTATTTGCGTGGTTCCTTTTGCGTTGACTTCCTGTTCTGAGAGCCGGAGGGCTCGTTAAGCTCATAAGCCACGGGAAGTGGTGTTGTTGTTGTAAGCTGCACATCGTTAGCAGGACTTATTGTTTGATTTTGGCAGAAGTGGTCATTTTCCTTCAGGAAGCCCAAAGCAATGAGGGGCTCGCTTTTACACAATGGCCTGCAATGGGAGGGGTTGGGGGTGTGGAGAGGGCAGCTTCCAATCTGCTCCCTACATCACATTGGCTTTTTTGATAAGAGTTAACCATTTTTCACATGATTTAGATTCTTTTCTTCTGCACCGACAGTGTTTCAAACAAAACCTGACCTCTTTGAACTTTCTTATCATCGTTTATGAGACCTTTCTCCTGTCTGCTGATAAAAACACCAGGTTCCAGTGTGCCCAGATGCCCAACCAGGTCCTGGAAAGTATCAGCATTATTGACACACCGGGGATCCTGTCCGGTGCTAAGCAGAGAGTGAGCCGAGGTGAGAGAGGTACCAAAGGTAAGGAGAGGGCATGGGGGGCCTGCAGAGACACACCTTCCCTGAACATCGGCTCACAAACTCATCTCCTTGGCACGCCTGGCTAACTCATGGGACCAGTTCGCTCCGTCACAATAACATCTGGCATCAGGCAAGAAAAAAAACCTAGCAGTACACTGAGCAGCCATAAACTCATAATCAGGAACAGAGATAGTACAGGCAAAAATTTTGTCAGCGCATCTGGAGGAATGTACTGTTGAGAAATAACTATCATCATCATCTCACAGTAGTTTTTCACTTTTCTATTCATCCACGCTTTAAGTAACCCATTATTACTTATGTCAATCTGCATGAGCAACTAACGAAGTTTTAAAGGGTCGGTGCATCCAGATTATGAAACACATCTTTCCTCACTTAGCACTGGTGGTATCTCGCAGATAGTTTTGGTTGTATCTGCTGAGGTTTTTGAAACATCCATCTGTGAGATTTCCGCCACCACCCCAGCACAGTGGAGGTGACTGGAATGCTGTGGTGCTCGCAGTGTTGAAAAATTACATCAACAGGTCTTCACAGAATGAGCGTTCCAGTTCTTCTGGAGAATCTGATATATTTCCAAGAAGTGGTTTTAATGCAAACTGCTCACAGGGAAGTTGGGTGGGTTATCCGGAGTAACTGGGACATCGTTTTTAAAAAGATTATGCTGTTAATTTATTTTTTTTTGGTAACACTACAGTAGTCAAGCCAAGTCAATTCAATTTTATTCGTATAGCGCCAATTCATAACAAAAGTTACTCTCGGAACTTTTCACATAGAGCAGTGTCTGACCGAACTCCCTTATAAATAATTTACAGATGACCCAACAGTTCCCACCATGAAGCACTTTTCACATTGGGTGACAGTGCGCAAAAAAAAAGGGAAAAAAAAAAACTTCCTTTTAAGAAGCAGAAACCTCGGACAGACCCTTCGGCTCTAGGTGGGTGGCAGTCTGCCTCGATCAGTTGGGGTTAGAGAGAGAGAGAGACGGGGGTTGAGGGGTAAAGAGAGAAGGACAGAGACAAAGGTGCACAAGTCAAGTCATGTCAAATTTTAATTATATAGCCCAAAATCACAATTTGCCTCGGGGCTGTACAATTTAAACAACATTCAACACACTCTGTCCTCAGAGTTAGGCTTACCTCAATTTGGGTAAGGAGAAACTGCCCGACAAAAAAACAGATACTAAATGGAAGAAACCTCCGGAAGAGCCACAGAGGAGGAACAGGACGGACAGACAGGCAGACAGACTAAAGAGTGTACACGACAAACCAACAAAATGACTTTATATACGAATTTTGATGACACAATTTCTTATACATGAAGATTATAACATATATATGAATAATGTAGATCCAGGAGGCCATTAAAACAAGTTCAGATGGCGCAGAGTGAGACATACGCCCTCCTCTCCACCTTTAACTTCTGAAAGAGGCACGACCACATGCAGATTTGCATCAGTAGTCCATTGAAAGAAAATTCAGAGATAGATACCTAAAAAAAACGATCTACATGGCTTTACCTCAGGTTGTAAGTGAGAAAATATGTTTTTTGTAATTTGGGTGAAATGACCATCATGGTATGATCATGTTCCTGGATCTAAATCAGACTTTTATACTGGTATTCTACATGTTAAAAGTCAAAGAATTGTTGTGGTGTTTTTCATAAAAGTGAAGCCCTGGTGTGTGAAGGTGGGTTTGACAGATACAGATAAGAGGTGTGAAGGGTTTGTGTCTGTGTCGACCTTCTCCCCTCTCCTGCCCGCTTTTTAAAAGTTTTGTTTTGTGCACATTTCGGTCCATGGCTATGTTATTATTCAACCTCTTTCTATTCAACCAGGCTATGACTTCCCAGCTGTGCTGCGCTGGTTTGCGGAACGTGTGGACCTCATCATCCTGCTGTTTGATGCCCATAAACTTGAGATATCAGACGAGTTCTCCGAGGCCATTGGTGCCCTGAAAGGCAACGAGGACAAGCTGCGTGTGGTGCTCAACAAGGCAGACATGGTGGGCACCCAGCAGCTGATGCGAGTGTACGGTGCACTCATGTGGTCCCTGGGGAAGGTATTTAACACCCCGGAGGTTCTGCGTGTCTACATTGGTTCCTTCTGGTCAGAGCCCCTGATGGTGGCAGACAACCGCAAGCTGTTTGAGCTGGAGGAGGAAGATCTGTTCGCTGACATCCAAAACCTTCCTCGCAATGCAGCTTTACGAAAGCTCAACGATCTGGTCAAGAGGGCACGTCTGGTTAGGGTGGGTTTTTTTGGCACATCAATGTGTTAATTAACCTAAATGATGCTCTTATAGTGTTAGTTGTTTTAAAATCTTGGTGGTAAAAACCGTTGCTATGCTTTTCTTAGGTCCATGCCCACATCATCAGCTATCTGAAGCAAGAGATGCCTTCTGTCTTCAGGAAGGACAATAAAAAGAAGAATCTGATCTACCAGCTGCCAGTTATTTTCTCTAAGATCCAGCTGCAGCACAACATCTCTGCTGGAGACTTCCCAGATTGTGCTAAGATGCAGGTTAGTCTGATTGTTTTGACTACATCTGGGAGGCAACTATTTAATGTATGTAAATCTACTGACTGGCGCATTTTTATCCATTTTTTAAAGGAGCAACTGATGGTCCATGATTTCAACAAGTTCAAAACCTTGAAGCCTAATCTGATGGCAGCCTTGGATGAGTTGCTGTCCGGTGACATTGCCAAGCTGATGCCTCTCCTGCGGCAGGAGGAGCTGGAAGCAGGTGAGCAACTAGGCGTGCAGGGTGGAGCCTTCATGGGGAACCGTGCCGGACCCTTCTCCGAGGGTGACCCCTTTGCAGAGGAGAACGGAGAGGGATGTGAGGAGGAGGAGGATTGGGTGGTGACCAAAGACAAGCCCAAATATGATGAAATCTTCTATAACCTCGCTCCCAATGAGGGGAAACTGAGTGGCACCAAGGCTAAGGACTGGATGGTGAGCTCCCGCCTGCCCAACTCGGTGCTCGGTCGCATCTGGATGCTGTCGGATGTGGACCACGATGGCATGCTGGATGATGAAGAATTTGCCCTGGCCAGCCACCTGATTGAGGTCAAGCTGGAAGGCCATGGTCTACCCCCTGAGCTTCCCACGCGTCTGATCCCGCCCTCCAAACGCAGGCAGAAGGGTTCTGATGCATAGACATGTCACAAAGTCCCTGGAGCTGAGAGAGACTCTTCTCTATTGGCTGTCACACTTATGCTACTGTTTGTATTTGCTCTTGTTTTCCCCCCCAGACCCATGTCAAATTGTTGACTGTAATGCGTTCAACGTTTTTCCTCTGAGACGGATTTTGGTCTAGCACAATGGAACATATTGTATTAAAGAGTAAGTCAATTATTTGAGAGTATAGGGCTTTCTGCAAAAGAGTAAGAAGTCACATGGGTCTGGTTGCTTTTCCATTTGGCTCTTCAAAGTTTGCTTTTTATGATGAGCTTTTTAAAAAATATATCTACTTGTGTTTGCTGAGAAGAATTAAATAAAGGCTGGCGAGCAGTATTCAGCATTTATTTGACCAAATAAAGAGTGTTCTGTATTAAATCCTTTAAATTCAGCCTTCCTTCAGACTAGATTGTAGCGGCGCAGTATTATCTGATCATTTGTAGGATTATGCCATTGTTTTAGGTCTGGTCATTCCACTGAGGGTCTCATCTGTATCATTTATAGCCTTTTAAAATCAAACTGGCAGCGCAAATCTAATAATCTGAATGCATTTCACTTTGATGCTTTACATGACACACTTTTGTGCATACACTTTATATATTATTTTTGTAACTGTTGCTGTTGTTTTGTATGTGCAGGAGCAAGACCTCAGTTTTATAAAAAGAACAGGATATGCTGAGATCAACTTTTCAACTAGACTGAATGATTGACATATTACTTACTGACTACTGTACACAGCTCCACCAACTGTTCTTTATGGTAACTATTATTATAACCAAATAAAATTCCCTGACTGTGTCTCGTCTCTTTTTGTGACTCTTTTGTAAGTTTAAAAAAAAAAAATCGACAAAGCTCGAAGGAGTCGGTAAACACTGAGCGACTAAAATGTCTGCAATTTAACATAAAGTACGTGATACTAACAGTTGAATTCATTTAATTTGGAACTCTTTCAACAAGATTTTCTCTTCTATCAAGCTCACTTGGTTGCTCAGTGACAGACCAGATAAACAGTGAGTCACACTCTCCCCTGCCAAGTACCCATACCACCATTTTCCGAGGCTCTCTCCCCTCATTCCCACCATCTGAAGCAGTCTCTCTTGCTCTCTCTCTCTTTGACACACACACACACACACACACACACAGACACTGTTAAATACAGTCCATCCCCCTTCATCCATGTTTAGGTCTTCTAGTTTTGGCTTTTTATCCTGTGTAAACTGTGCGGTAAAAGCACAAATATGTATTCTGTGTAAAGCCGTGTGTGTGTGTGTGTGTGTGTTTCACATAAGGTTTTCCAAGGTTTGCAGAAGAAGGGGTGGCTTCCCCGCCTCCCCGCCTCCCCGCCTCCCTGTTCCACTCCTCCATGGAAAGAAACACAAATGAGAAACAGAGGCAATGCAGTCCTTTCCTCCCTGCTCTCTGGCTTACAGTGACTCACATGTGAAGAATGTGGTAGGCTGGCCCAAGAGTTATTAATATCTCCTTTCCTAGGGTCCGCTAACTTTCCTCAGGCTCATGCACAGGATCTAGACACTGTACCTTTATGAAAGGCTTAACAACATCCCCCTATTTGGAGAATTCCTGCGTTGGACCTGCAGCACACCACACCCTCTTCTGTGTATCTGTGTGTGAGAGAGAGAGGAGGGAGGGATATGTGGAAATAAAGTTATGTGTGAAAATTGTTTGGCTTCTTGTGTATATTTTCATGTCATCACTAGCATTTCCATTTTAAAGAGCAGAATATAAAAACAGCAGTTTGAACAATGCCCGCCTGTTAGATAATTAGGCTGTGCTGAGTCATAAACCATCTCCAACATTTGTTTGCTCAAACTGAGCTTCACACTGCTGCCACAGCAAGCGGGGTGAAGCTTGCAGGCCGGGCCCCGGCTACAGCCGAGGATCCCCACCAACATCAGACATCCCCCAACAGTGAAGCTTACTCAACGAAAACCGGGGTCTCCGTATATACGTCACTCTGTGTTTACGTGGGGAATTCCTCACCAGTGAACCTGCCCTTGGTAGAAAAACTGAGATCATCAACTCTGGAGAGGGGTGACATCTGGTGGACACGAGACTCCTGGAAACTTTACACAGCAGTGTCTGACTGTAGGTGGCAGCCTGGAGGGAAGCAGCTGTGTGCACTGAAGGATAGGTTCACAGTTTTTATAAGTCTGAATGTATCGGTATGTATGTGGAAAAAGCTACTGGTGATGAAGAGATTCAGGATGTGGCTCCAAAATCTAAAGTCGAGCTTTTTGATGTTCAGCTGAAACTAATGCGAGGCTTCAGCAGTAACTTCATAATAACTGTAGATTTTCACCTTCCACCTCTTTTGGAGTTTTATTATTAAGGGATCTCTTTATATAAGGACATAAATATATAGATATGACACAAATCTACATTATATTAATGTATTATATCTGTGTATACATGTATATCTGCTCCGTCATCATATTATATATACATATTATTATTATTATATACTGTTATTAACCATAACTATATCATATCATCAGTACTATTACCATCATCTTGCAACTACAACTTCTTTGCACCTTATCTACCTATTTATCTTTTTTATCTTTTCTATCTAAGTATTTTATTCTATTGTTGTATATTATTG